TTTCTTCTTTCTTCTTTCTTCTTTCTTCTTTCTTCTTTCTTCTTTCTTCTTTCTTTTTCCCTTTACAGGACACTCTGGTCACATTTTCAGGCTAAAGACTTCTTTAATGAAAGCTGGAATCCTTGCACAACCACTTGCTTCCAGATGCTGTGGATTACAGTAAAACACTAAATATTGCAAGACTTACGGTACAATTGCAAGAGTTGGCAGCAGTGAAGAAGTGGACCAGGACTGAGAGAAAGGGAAAAAATAATGGGAGACAATTAAGAAAAGAGCTAATTTAGAGTGAATACCGAGAAAGGAATTTCAGGAAACAATACTTTCCAATAAATTCTCTGAGGCTATGGAACAGTCTAAAGGGAGAAAGACGGGTTCAATGTGACCAAAGCCCTACCAGTGTGCTGTTGGGAACATTCCTGTTATTGGATTGTCGCACGAAATGATTTGTCGTGCCTTGTTTTGCATTGATCTTTCTCCCTTCCCTTCTAATTGTGAGAAAAGTTGTTTGTTTTTTAAAATTTCCTTTTTTTTTTTCTTTTCTTTTTTTTTTTTTTTTTCCCCCTGTATGCATTAAAGAGATCAGAGCACGGCTGTAATCTGCATGTTGGCTAATTGTATCTCTTCACTTGTCAACCCAGGGATCAGAATGTCTGCAGAGGGTTCTCAGGGTACCAAGCAGGCAGTGTTTGTTCTGACCAGCAGAGCACATCCAGCATAACACAACAACAGCTACTGGAAAGAATTGGAGCGTGGCTCCCAGTGGCAGTATGAAAGTTTATTTGTAAATCTCATTCCATTCTTCAGTGCTCATGGGAGCAACGTTGGTCTAGTTGGAATAACGGTCCCTCTTATTTAATGTCTTCTATTGATGGTCCATAGCAGATGCTTAAGAAAGAATAGAAAAGCAGGGCAAGCATTTAATGATGCTTTCTCCAAATGTTCTTTGTAGCTCAGGGTCTCTGAATAGATTTCAGATATATACTAAGCCTCCACATCACAAATTCAACTTCCTTTACATACATCCCTTTGTTATCCTTTCACCTAGTGCTGCTAGGGGATTTCATAGACTTCACTTTTCCAATGCTTTTTTCACCATGTTCTGATTCAGACATTGCATAATGAAGGGACGAGGTTCAACCATCATAAATCTGCTCCGATAATAAACGTGCACATCAGAAGTAAGCAGGCAAAGGAGAAAGCTGGCCCTATGATAACCAGAGCCCACTAAGGCCTGAACTGCAGGTTGACCTCTGCTTTGTGGAATTCCCTGGTTAATAATCTATCATTTCCTCCCTCTTAGCTGATGTCAAAGAGAGTCACCGAGGAGCAAGTGTCCCTCCAGGGGGCTTTAGGAGGTTACTCAAGGGTGGCTTCACAATGTGCATCTCTGCCAGCACTTGTGACCATGCCAGGAACTCCCTGAAACCAGAAGACCTCCTACCAAGAGGTCTCAGGGACAGGTGTGGAGGTACTGAAAGGGTATTTTACCTCTCCCAGTGCCACAGCAGTCCCAACACAATAGAAACGTGGTTCAAGGTCAGTTCTTCCTTATTAGATATCTGATTAGGCAGCTTCCCAGCATGGATCCCAATTTAACTCTGTTTCACGGCAAGGAATCAAGCAGGGGAGAT